ATCCTGCAATCTAGGTCAGTCTGGAGCAGTGGGCCTATGGGATGGCTTTTAAATCTGCTGTAGGCTCCCGTCGATCTGCTTAGAAGGCACAGGAGGCCCAGTTACCCTGGACTGGAACATTCTAAGGGGAATTGAGAGATACTCTTCACCTGACCCACAGAGTCGTCAGAAATAAAGAGGGCTATACCATCAGATGAATTACATTGAAACACACGCAGGCTTTAAGTATTCCTCGTTCTGCTTTTTAAGACCTAAACAGGATTTGCCAGCCAGATTTCCTTCCGGCCTCCAGAATATATGGATCCTTCTTGTAAAATACAACAGGCTCCTACGACCCAGGTGGGGACTTTGCAAATCACCTCCCCGTGTTGCAGAAAGAGATAGGAAATGCAAGTGTCCTCCAACAAGCCAGGATCTGTTTTTCTTTTGGCTTTCTTTTGAAAATTAGGGGGTTTGCACGCTATGAATAATTCATCAAATAAAGCAGAAACAAAATAAATTGACTAGTGTCTGCCACCTGATAAAGTAAACTTCTACCAAAGACCCTTGTCAAGGACCTTATTCTTCCTTCAAAATGAGTAATGGAAGGCTGTTGTTTCCAGGGGTTCAGGCTTAGTGGGTCCTTCCTCAAAACTGCTTCTGCCAGCTTTAATATGATTACTTTCTGGACATGTTATAGACTTAGTTCACTAGGTCAAAGGCCCTGACACTTTCCTCAGGCTCTGCTTCCACAACACGCACAAACTCGATCTGTGTGTTTTTCTGCACATGCCCCGGTATGCTGCTAAAACTAGAGAAATGGAAGGAGAAACATCTGAACGTCAAAATTCAGCCTAAGCAAAACACTAAACAAACCAGTCAGAACAGGCTGTTTCTTTCAACTTTTAGTAGGCCCTTTTCTCTATATCTTAATTGCCACACCACACTTGTATCTATTTACAGGCTGTGGTCATTCAATACGTATTCACAATGTGTAGTTCTCAATTCAGAGTGATCAGTGATTGCAGGTCCTTAAAATTTTAGCATTTCTATATGATGAAAAACCTTCAAAATCTTTTCCACTTACTTTGAAAATAACATATATTGCTTTAGGCTATTGTTACCCTAAGCTTTATTTGACAAATCATAAGAAAAAAATTTAAAGTACAAGTATGATTTAAGAAAAAAATATTTAACAACAAAAAATTTAAAAAAAAGACCCGGGTTTTGTTCTACTAGGAATCAACCTCGTAGGTCTAGAGGGAATCTTTCCATATCTCTGGGCCTTGTTTTCTTCTCTAATATACGCCAAAAGGAATCAACCACCTCTTGGGTTCTATGGTTAGCTATTCTGTCCAAATACCACCTCTAAATTTTTTTTTTTTTTGCTGTGTTTTGTTTTTTGGAAAGACGAGGTAACTGCAGAAGTCTCTGCAGTTATTTCCAAAGACATGAACTGTTTTCCCAGAAAACAGAAGCACTTCCGAATCTGCTGAAGCTGATATAAAGCTTGCTAATGAGGGAGTCTCACCATAGAAATGATCTTCCAGAACAACGTTGAATGTCTTCAGATGATGAGTTTATAAAAAAAATAAATAAATATAAATAAAAATAAATCTTTCTCTCTCTCCCCCACCCCCACCTCCAACATTACTGGAAAGGCCTGAAGAAAATAACTGGTATCAGACACACAGAAGAGAAGTAAAAACAAACTTGGCTTCTTATGCGTCTGAATATTTCACTGGGGATGGAGTTTTGTATTCCTAAACTGGAAGGTGATAGAATATTCTGTTTCAGGACATCTTTTTTTTTTAAGCCATTTAAAAGTACTGCAGAATTTTATTTTGATTTCTGCCACAGGATAAAGGGCTCCCCCTGAATGCAAACAACAAGCAAAGAATGCGCTAGAGGCTCCGCCATCATATTAAAAATTAAACCGGGCTGCATTTCATAATGGGCTCCTCTCTCTCTCTCTCTCTCTCTCTCTCTCTCTCTCTCTCTCTCTTTCTCTCTCTCTCTCTCCATCTTCTCACCATGGATATCGCACTCGGATGGTCGTTCTTCATGGTTAACACTGGGACATCAGCCGAGGTCAGAACCCTGCTTCTCTGAACAGGGAACCACAAATGTCACTGACACATGTCAGGGCTTGGCAAATAATATATTTCTTTCCAGTCCCCTGTCCCTTCCGTTTACCCACCCTCATGCATGTGCTAAGCTGAAGGGCACCTCTCAGTCTTCCTTCCTTCCTTTGGTGGGACCAGCAGGAGGCATGCCATTCACAATGAATTCAAAAGTGCTTCTCTTTTGATTTCTGTTGTCTTTATTTTAACCTCAAGAAGAGAGAGAGATTGAACTCAGTCTTCACCCCGGGCTACGCTAATACTTAGGTCATGTCTGAGCTCTCTAGGGAAGCCCCGCTTTATCCCATCCGAGGGGCAATGCTGTCTTTTCAGTGGGGCTGTACAGCTGTCCAGCCATATGGGCCCCAAACAGCTCAGTCAATCCGATTTGGGGGTGGGGGGTTACAATGTAATTTCTTAACGTGCTAGTATTTGGGGTGAGTTTCATCAAGCGCATAGACAGCCCTTAAGCCCAGGGGTTTAGGTTTTAAGAAGCCATTACAAATGGTTCAGCATCCGTTCAGACTAGTTAAAAACAGATATGAAATCTGTGGCTGGGGGGAGGGGTAAGGACTCCTGACCCCCTGGTTGAAGAAAGTCCCAGGGGTATGCTCTAACTATTAATTCAGCATCAGCTGCCGTATCTCCCCCCCCCCCTTTTTTTTCTCCCTTTCTTTTTTAACCCTGGGCTCATCATTTAAGGCGCTCCCGCTCTGGCCTGGTCTGCGGAGCCTGTTACAAAACCACGTCTCGGCTCCCCCACCCCACCACACCCCACCCCCGCGCGCGCTCCTCACGCCGCAAGATGAGAGAGCCAGCATCCCCGCAATGCCGCAACGGCGCAGGAGAACTGCATTGAAACAAGCTAAACAAAACCAGGCCTTTCTGACAATCTAGCAAAAGACAGCAACCTCCATGTCCCGTGGATCTTCAGTCAACTGACTGGACCTTAAGTCACAGCCCCATTCTTCGCTGGTGCAGGAGTTCGAAACTGTACGCCAAAGGAATACTTAATAGACAGAATATACAATAGTCCTAAATCTAAAAACCTTTATCAAAATGGTGGAAAGTATGGCTAAGTTACCGGTAATAGATCTTGTCCACCAGAGAATTGCAATTTGGTCGGGACTGTTATCAGCGTGGTCAGTGTTCCCAGAAAGATAGCCCTGTGGTGGCCTTGGCCAACCAGCTACATTTTTTAAATTAAAATCTGTCTCAAAGATGTTTTCTAATTCTTATACACCCCTCCCAAGATTCTCAATTCTAGAAATTAACCCCCCTCCAAAAAAAAAAAAAAACCCTGCTTATTTTCTAAGCCACTAACGGCACATTGTTGAAGCAAAAAAAAAGCAAGTAGGGGAGGTTTTGTGATAGCCATTCTTCTGTTGGGGTCCACACCTAACAACTGACAGAAGCAGAAATGGTCTTGAATCTAAGGGGACATCCCTGTAGATCCATCCTGACTAGGTAGGTGCTCCCGCCTGGCCAGCACTGGCCTTTGGCAGCCACCACGTTTAGACTGCTTTTAGCTACCCAAGCTTGTTCTCCCTACGTCTAGATGTCCTGAATCCAATATAGACCAAGAAACACTTGGTTTTGTTTTTTGGGTTTTTTTTTTTTCCTTTTCTTTTTTTTAAGTCATTAAAGAAAAGCAGGCGTTGGGAAAGCAGATGGGCCAGCGTGTGCGGGTCGGGGCTGCCTCGCGGCTGCCGCAGTAGCCCCTTTGGGAAGACAGATTTCTCTTCGCAGGCGCGGGGGCTCGAGGTGGGGGAAAGTCTTTTTGGTTTGCTCTTATGGGGACATTCATTCTGGGTCCTTCTTTAAGGCACAGCTAAGTCGGTGCTCTTGGAAAAACAGTCACACAGCCACACAAGTACAACAAAAGGCGCCTCCCCGAAGTGGCTCTCCACGTCCTCAGGACGGGTGGCCGGACGTGTAGACGCACTTTTGTGCCTCTGTAATCTCGGACGTCCATCTGGCCCGGGCGGGCGAGGGCGGGCGGGAGGGCGCGGGTAGGGGAGGGGCGCGCACACGCAACTAGAGCCGCGAGCACGCGCTCCGCTCTCCTTCACTTTCACCTTGACTGCGTGGGGGGGGGGGAAAGAGACTAGGGTCCTCCCCCCCCCCCCACCCTCCGCCATTCGTCTTCCCACCCCCATCACTGTCCTGCCCAGACGCCAGCCTAGGGCGGGGTGAGGAGGAGGCTGCACTGGCGCTCGGGTCGCCGCACCGCCCCACAGCCTCACGCTCTCGCTCTCCGCAGTGACGGCAACCGCAACCGCAGCAGCACCCAGTTCCATCCTCACCCGCCTGGCCCGCGCCGCTGCTGGCGGGAACCTGGCGATTCGGGCTGAGGGCGACGAGCGGAAGACACCGTGAAGGTGTCTCAGCCCCACCCCACCCCACGCCATTGGCCGAAGCGCAAGAAGCAGAGAGTGGGCTAGACGCGCTGTTGCTGTTGCACCGAGGGAGCGAAGAGGGGAACAAGAGAGCACGATGGAGCGGTGCAGACAGGTGTAGGATTGAACCCCCGAGTCCGCCCAGAGGACTTTGTCAGTTCCTGGGGCGGCCAGGGTGGCTTCAAGGGATCGGAGGGCTCGGACCACTGCAGATGCGGCTCGTGTGGGCGCGGCGAAAGCGCCCACTTCTCCCAGGATCTAAACGGATAAACGGAAGCGCATGTAAGTGTGGGGGTGCGAATCGCCACCTCCGGCCTTGACTTTCCCGCTTTTGCGAGCACCCCCACTTCTCACTTTCCCAAAATCCGCATTTTCCTTGGCACAGCCCTCCTGAACACCGAGGAGAGGGAGGTGCCCGGGGGCAGTGAGAGTGACGTGTGTTGGTGCAGAGGGGGTGGGGGGCTGAGGGCCGGGCTCTGTGGACCGACTCCTAATCCTCTTGTTTTCGGAACCGTCAGCAGATGTGGCTTCTCTTAGCTGAATAATCCGTTAAGGGAATGATAATTTTTAAAAAGGACCTCGGCCTCACCCCGCGAGAACAGTGAAGGAGATCAGAGCTTGGTGAGGCTAAAAGAAAAGGCTCTAAATTCTCTCTCTCTCTCTCTCTCTCTCTCTCTCTCTCTCTCTCTCTGCCTTCCTCTCTATCCCCTCATCCCCCCTCCCCCTCTCTCCTCCCCCTTCTCCCCCATCCCCTGCAATCCGCACTCGACGCGAGTTCACGCGCAGGGCTGGATTTCCAAGCTGCACTGCAACTTCTCAGCGCGTTATTATTATTCATCTGAGGGTGCAGCCTCTGCAACCTTCGCCTCCTGCGCTAGCATCCTTTCCCCCTGCCCGCGGCCACCAGCAGTGCAGTCTCTTCTGCACGCAGGCTCTGGTTCACTACAGGAGGATTCTGGTTTGGGTTTTTTAGTTTTGTTTTTGTTTTGGGTTTTGTTTATTAAATTCTCTTTGGGGTCATTACCACGATGCCTAGTTTTATCGCTAGCTTTTCCTCCGGTCCGGTGGTGCGACTACCAGCTCTTGCTGGCAGCTCTTCCTTTCCCCCCAGACAAGGAAGCGATTGGGGCTTGGCCAGGGAGGCCGCTCCCTGATTGCGGGGCTGCCTTTAGCCACCACAACTCTCCCGCGTTCATCTGCATCTATATATTATCCGCATTCTTTTTTTTCCAACAGATCTGCCTTTGGTTTGGACTGGCTGAAACACTGCGGACTGCAACCAATGTCTTTTAAAGGAGAACAAAAAGATGAGGCTCTCGTGCGGACTCGGGACAAAGCGTCTTGGGCTGGGTGACAAGGGACGCGCGGAACTCTGACTCCCGGATTGGAGAGATCAACACAGCCCAAGGGCACCCCGCAGGGCTTGCGGACCTCTGAGGGTATTCAGACTCAATTTTATTGATCTTTGTGGCATGCTTTAAGAGGGTCAGTGTTAGGTAGAGGCTGTGTCCCCCACCCTGTTGGGTGGGTGGGAAACTGAATGTAGATCCAATCCAACTTGTCCTGCATGTCCCTCTATCTCGCCTTTTTTTCCCCCTTAGATATTAGAAAGAGAAATGAAACCCCAAAGGCTTAGAAAAGAGAAACAGTGAGTGGGAGCCCCACCCCCACCCGGAAAGGCTAAGGCAGTAGGATGTGGGGTTGGCCAGGTGAAAAGAGCTGTGGGTTAGGAGGCATCTGCCCCACTCCGGTGCCCTGGGTGAGTTGTATAGGGAATGACAACGTGGCTGTCTGTTGAAAACAGTCTTGAGAAATTGGCATGTACAAGCATAAGGTGACTGGACTTGTGTGTAAACAGATTGGTGGAGGGCAGAGAAGGAGGGGTCTTAAAATAATGTTTTATTGTCCCAATGGATTTGGGGATCTCTCCTCCACCCCATCTAGCTCCGTTATATAGGAGTGACCTTTTAAATCGACGCCCACCCTTTACCCCTGTAAAGCCGGTTGACAGGGGTGGGTGGGGTGGGGAGGGGAGTGTGTAGGGGTGCTCTCTCTCTCTCTCTCTCCCCCCCTCCCCCTTTCCAGTCTCCCTCCTCCCTCCGTCTCCCCCTCCCTCTCCCTTCACTCCTCCCTCCCTCGTTCTCCCTTCGCTCCCCCCCTCGCTCCCTCCCTCCCTGCTGCATTTTGCATGAGCTATCTAGGTCATTAGCATTTTAGCGTATGCAAGACTTGACAAGGCTGATGAGGGGCCAGATGGGCCTCGCTCTTATTTATTTATTATTTTTTTTCTTTTCCTTTTTCCCCTCCACCACTTGGGACCTAAGCGAAAGGACCGCAGCAGGAGAGTTCCGGAAGGCTGATTCCCACAGATCCTGGTGAGCGGCTGCTGCAGCTCAACCCTGCGGCACGCCCGGCTAGGCTGCACCAGGACTCTACACTCGAGGTAAAGGCGGCGGCCACACGCCCTGTTCAAGCAGCGGTCGCTTGGTCCCTGCTTCCCATCCCTTTCCTCGCCGTCCTCTCCCTCCTCCTGGCCCCCCTCAGTTTCCTAGGCAAAGCTGAGAGCGACCTGGGTGGGTAGGACTCGCTGCGGTGGGGCGAGGTGGGGTTGATGTTTTTTTATTGTCTGGAGCTGCAGGGGAGGCGAGGCGCGCGGAGAGGGGTGAGGGAGTCGGGGTAATTAACACGGGGGAGGCACCCCTCCGTCTCCCACTTACACCCACACCCCGAACCCTCCACCCCCCTCCTCTTTGCAGGAAAAAGCTTGGAAACGAAAGGATGCGGGAGAACAAAGAGCCTTTGGAGGACGTGGCTGTTATCTCATTGTCTGTGACTGGGGGAGCTGCGGTAGGAAGGATGCGGTGGTCCTTAGCTCATCGCTTTCCCCCACCCCCCACCCTCCCTGCTGTCAGTGCGCACGCACACACGCCGCCAGCTTTTTCTTTCTCATTTCTCGTTTTCTCATTCCACCTTCTCCCATCCCCTCCCTTTCTTTCACCTTTTCTCCTTCCTCCCTCCCTCCAGAGACCCCCCTTCCTCCCTTCTATCCTCTCTCTCTCCCTTCCTTCCTCCTTCCTTCCCTCCCTCCTCCTTTCCTTTCCTTTTCCTTCCTTCCTTCTTCCTTCCTTCCTTCCTCAGGAGAAAGGCCTCTCTCTCCGTGTTCACAGCGGACCTTGATTTAAATGTCCATACAATTAAGGCACGCGGTGAATGCCAAGAATGGGGCTGTCTGAGCACCTTGGGTCCTCGAGGGCCCGCCACAGAAGGATCGACCCAGCCCAACGCTCTGGGCAGAACTCAGCGCTGCAGCTGCAGGCGCCACAGGAGGGGCAACGGGCGGCTGAATGCCTCGTACCGCAGCCTTTAGGGTGGGGATGTGTGCGGCTACCGACAAAGAGGGGCTTGTGCAGATGCAAACAGAATCTAGGAAAGAAACAACCCATTCTGTGACAGAAAACACGGATCGATGCAAGCGGGTGGTGGTGGGAGTGGGAGATGGTCTGGGAGCTGTTGGAGGGTGAAGGGAGCGCGTTAGCTTCTGGGACCCTGCCCATTGTACAAGGTCGACACCTTCCTCCGTATCTGTTTTTGTCCTGGGCTTTCAATTTGCCCTTAGACAAATATACTAATAATCTGGTACCCATGCGACTGGCAGACTGCCCCAGAGCCTGGACTGCAGCTACATTGTGTTCTGCTTGGGGTTGGTAAGGTATTCTTTGCGGGAAGCTGTTTGTCACACTTTGGTGGAGAGCTGTGAGCATTTGACAAGCTTAAGCAGATCTCCGGGATGAAGGCAACCAGCAAATTTGCTCATGAACAGCGCACAGACTCCATCAAAGCTGACAGCTAGCCCATGGCTCCAAGGAGCCCCCCCCCCCCAGTCTTCTCAGGGCTCTGACTGAAGTTTCAGGCAGAGATCCAGAGCTGCAGGAGAGGTGCAGTACCCCCAAAGGGCGGGCTACTCTGTTTGCTCTTAAAATCGGGACAGAAGGAAAAACAGCATGTGCGCAGGTGGGGGGGGGGGGGGTCTGAGGAAAGTCTGTTTTGAAGCTGGCTGTCCAGGAACAGAAAGGGTTAAGCCGCCCTCATCCCGAAGCACCTGCTTCCCAAATCAGCCCCCAGCAGCAGCTGGTCCTGGAGACCCCCGACCCAGTTCCATCTCCATCTCTGTGTTCACCGCCAACCTGCCAGTGGATGGATGGTGGCCTGGTGACTGACCTAACCTCATTAATTTCCAGGTGGAGAAAATGGAGGAGGGGCAGGTCCCAGGCGCAGAGAGAGGGAAAGGAGGCCAAGGGCTGGCCTTCCCACCCAGGAAGCAGGCTGTAGCCCTTCCCCCTGCTGTCACGCCAGAGGCCTGCCTTTGCAAGGCCAAGCCCATAAAGGATGTTTAGGAGTTTAATCTGATTCCTAACACAGTAATCAGGATCTAAAAGAGCATCCGTTGAAGTTAATGGAAGACTCTTTTCTCCAAAGCCCCTGCCTCCTCTAGTCTAGTAAATTAGTATTGGAGAGTACCATGGGTCAGCACCTCTCCGGCCTCGTTTCCTCAGGAGTACATACTATTTCTTGAGTATCTGCTATGTGTCCGTCTTTGTAATAACCTCATCTTAAGGGCTAAACTTCATCACAGAAGGGAGTGTTAGAGCTAGCTGGGCTGAGGTTAAACGCGCCACACTTCACGTAGGCTTTCCCAGAACCGTCTCTGCTCTGCAGAAATGAGCCACAGCCTGCTCGCTCCACTGTACACATCATGGGGGCTGCAGGGGCTTCGCCGACTGTAGAGAAAGCGGGGCTGTGAGAAAGGGAAAGCCTTAGCAATGGCTGTCCTGAGAGAGGCCGAAGCCATTGCCTTCAAAATCTCCCTCCCTTGAAATGAGATTTGACCCTGTCCTGGGACACCCCCACCCTTTATGGATATGTTAGTAGAGAGCAATCAGCGTACTGTACCATTTTGGGGATGTACCCATTGCTTCCCCCCTCCATGCCCGATGAGATGTTATTTTGCCTTCAAGCCTTGGCCTAAACTGCTGATAGCCCAACCCCCTGTACCACAAACGTCCCCATTAGCAATCCTCTGCTCAGTAATTGCTTCCCCATGATTCCTTCAAATGTCCCCTCGTCCTTCACTGACACTTCATCTTACATAACCTCCAGATGCCTCCCCAAGTAAGGTCCTTTTAGGTAGAAACCCAATGTGCTTTTTCTCTGAGAGCTTCAACCGCAGGCACAGGCACCTTCTTCTGTAAGGCCTGCCTACGATCTGCTCCATAGGATCTATGCTAGGAGGAGTGCGTTTTATTTTATTGCTTATGGAAACTCTTGTTCCAGAAAGCATTAGTGTGTGGGAGTGTTCCGGGCTGGCCAGTCTGTGTGGACTAGTGTGGGTATGTGTCCACCAGGTCTCCTTCACGGAAAGGGTTTGGGGGGGGGGGACTCTCGTGACATTTTCAGCCCAGGTATAATTGCTAGCCCCCTTTTGTTTGCAACACATGAAGAATCAGAACCAAGGTCAGCCTGAGCTGCCTCCTCCTTCTACGTTTTCTGTCCTTTTATGCCCATCAGTAATTACACAGAGAACCTGAAGCTTTCTGCACTCTCAAGGCATCTCCTGGGTGCTCAAGCCCACCTCCCCTGCCCATGTGAACCTTCTCGTTACTTATTATGGCTAAAAGTGAGGAGAGAAATAAATCCGTGATCTGACGGTAGGTAGGATGAGGCTGGCACAGTGTGATGACTGAGCACACTTTCCTCGTCCCTTGGGTTGGTTCACACCCACTGTGGTCTTAGTCCCCATGGGGTACAAGCTCTTGTATTTTTGAAGGAGCCCAGTACTTGGAATAGATTTAGGAATGTATCAAAAGGACTTGTGATTAAAATGTTTCTCTCCCCTGCCAGAGACACCCCAGATCTGTCTCAGTGGAAAAGAATTGATTCTTTAACAGATGCAGTGATAAACTCTATAAATTTCTTCTGTGTGTGTCTTGTGGGGGGGGGGGGTACACCAGAAACTTTTATCAGATCATTGCCGTGTGGGGAGGGACACGTCCCCAGTTAGAACATGTTCGTGCACACATATTAAGTCATAGACTTTCTCACACAACCATATCCATCGCTAATGTGGAAGGCACTTGACCGCAAAAGAAAGTGCGCCTATCCACACTACCTCTACAAGGAAATTTTCTCTCCCACTATTGAGCTTACGTAACAACCACCCCCATTCCAACCTAGAGTGCCCTCTGGGGGCAGCTGCAGAAATCCTGCCTGGGACAGATGGAGCCTCTCCCTCCTCAGCTACTCTGTGGGTGGTTTTTGAGCCTGTGAGTCAACATGGGCAGACTGTAGTGTGTGCTGGTGCTGTGTGTGTGTGTGTGTGTGTGTGTGTGTATTTGAGGCTTGGCGGGCTGATTCACACTGATGAGGATATTAACAGCAATGCTGAGAATTATGATAACTAATAAAGATTTTTTTTCTTTCAAGACCCATCTACAATTCTTTCGTTGGGTATTTTTGCCAAGTCCTAGCCAGATTGATTCAAGTTTTTAGTATTTAATTGCCTCAAACAAGCAAGTATGGTACAAAAAAAAAAAAAGGAGAAGAAAAAGAGGAAAGACTTTAAGCTGGATTTGTTAGAAGCAGTCTTTGTACCTAGAGATTTTGAAGTACCAAGTTTAAGAGGAGGCCGGGCAGCTAGCTTTATGGAGACCAAGAAAAGTTCCAGGTCAGAGAGGAAGTATCAGCAACTGTCTCTAGCTAGGTTCCTTGTCTCTTTTGTCTTAAAGAGGGCCTACCAGAGGTCAGAGTCACGGAAGCCCCCAAATACATTCCAGGGTCACTAGGAGATTTCACTGGGGCTAACGCCATTTTAAATTCAAATCAAATGTGTTTGCTTCTGAAACACGACAAAATCACCAGACCTGGGGGCCTGAGAGGTGGGATGACTGCGTGTAGGGGCTCTGTGCCGAGTTCTCAAGGTGGCAGCTTTGGAAGCTGCCAGTATGCCATTCTGTGGGAGCCAAGCGCAGGCAGGATGCTGCAGCCCAGGCCAGCAGACTTCTCTCGTTTCCGCCCCGGGTGCATCAGCACGTGGACTTGGAACAGACCTGATTTCATCTTTTTTGTGCTCCCCAGTTTTCTGTGAGCCTCTTCCCAATCACGGAGATTTGGGATATGGGAAATTTGTGTTGTTCCTGATTTTTTGTGTGTTTTAAACACTGAACTTGTCCGAGGTTCACACAGAAGTGGGTTTATTTCAATCCAGCTTCGAGATGCACCCCAAACCGAAATCCTAAATTCCACTGGGGTCAACCAACAGAAGAGACAGATTCTGAGCACCCCCCTCCCATGTTTTTTTCCAGCTTCAATTCACCTCCCCCAGTTCCACTCTGGTACCAGTCCATACTGTGGATCCACCCTAAGGGTGGTTACAAAGTCCAGCAGAGGGGCAGGGGACCCGTGAAACTGGGCAGAGTGGGTACACCTTCAAAGAGCGGGCCACGGCAAGCCTCAGCTGTCTTGGCTTCTCTGCCACTCCCAGACCCCAGAGAGGCAGGCCTTGCCCAAGCTCACCAGTCCTTTACCATGGGCCCCTCTCTGAGACCTGTGAAGAGTGCTGTCCCGCAACCCAGAAAAGGCTCCGAGGAGTACAAGACTGGCTCGCGGTTATGCCTAGAGGCAGATGTAGCCAAGGGGAAGACCCTCCCAGCACAAATCACTCAGTTGCTTGCACCAGCAGGGCGCTCCAGCGAAACTAGTTTATCTGGGAGGGGAGAGTGGCATCTTCCCAGACTGCCCTTTCCACAGCCCCATCCCCATCCTACTCCAGCCTTGGTACACAAGGAGACAGGACCAAAATTGAGGCATCTTCCCCACATCCTTGTACCCCTTTTAACAATCCGCCCAATGCTCTAAGTAATGTAGAACA